TGTGGGAGAGCACACAGGGACATGGCTGGAGTTGGCCGTGGTGCTTTCCCCTCCACCTTGGCCCCCAATCCCTCAGAGCTTTGCTGGGTGAACCTCCCCATCCATCACCCTCTGTGCAGGTGCAGGTTATTGCTAAACCACAGGATGCAACATTTTACATCTTGCACTACATTTTTTTTTTTTTTTTTTTTTGCTGGTCCTGAGCTGCTCTGCTGCAGATCCTTCTTGATTTCAGGGTTTCAGGTGCTGCTGTTTCAGCTTTTCAAAGAACCTTCTCAAATCGACTTTTGTGGAGGAAGAGAAATGAGATGTTGGGAAGGAATCGTTCCCTGGGAGGGTGGGCAGGCCCTGGCACAGGTTGCCCAGAGAAGCTGTGGCTGCCCCAGCCCTGGAAGTGTCCAAGGCCAGGTTGGAGCAGCCTGGGCTGGTGGAAGGTGTCCCTGCCCATGGCAGGGGGTGAAACAAAATGATCTTTCAGGTGCCTTCCAAACCAAACCATTCTGTGATTAACAGACTTAGTGCTCTTTAAATGCCCTCCCTCTTGGTGGCTTCTTTGGGGTTTAAAGCAGGAAATGCTGCAGCTGAAAGTTTGGGTGGAAACTCAATGGGTGGGATCCAGGATGGACAATTGGAGCTGTGTCACTGCACATCCCCATCCATGCACAGCCTCTCCCACCAAACAAGCCCCTCCTCCCCTCAGCATCGTCCTCTGGGTTGGGAACAATGTGGGTTGGTGCTTTTTGGTGGTTGAACCCGAGATATCTTACAGTGAGGAAAAAAGAAAAGGTTTGTACTTCTTAAAGATCTGCCCTTTCTTGGGTTTCCCAAGCTGGATGCTGCCAAACTAAAGGGCTGGTTGAAAACCTTGGCATTGCCCCTTCCACAGAAACCACTGAAATTTGGGATGGAAGCCAAGGCAGACACCTTTCCCTTGACAGCAGATGGAGGGCTTTGCTCAAGGGCAGTTCTTACATTCATCCAGTTCACCAGTAACTCCAACGTCCTGGACCCTTCTAATGCCAGGAATTA